AACAATTTAAAATCAGAACAATGTATTCCATTTTAAATGAATATACTAAATGGTGGGATAAAGCATAAACATATTTGGCAAGCCAATAAATAGAATCCACACATTAACTTTCTCTAAGAACATTTGGTTTTCAGAACTTTTAAGTCCAAGCCTTTAATTATCCCAAACCCACGAAGAATCCAAGCAATAAAGTGGGCTACCTCTATCACTTTCTTTTATCTTCCTATCCCAATATGATTTTCAAAATCCATTAGCCTTTATTTCCTATTAACCTATTAACTCAGAAATGTCATTTTTCGGCCAGGCACAGTGGCCCACGCCTGTAATCCCAGCACTTTGGGAGGCCGAGGTGGACGGATCACGAGGTCAAGAGATCCATCCAGACCATCCTGGCCCAACATGGTGAAACCCTGTCTCTATTTAAAATACAAAACTTAGCTGGGTGTGGTGGCGCAAGCCTGCAGTCCCAGCTACTCGGGAGGGAGGCTGAGGCAGGAGAATCACTTGAACCTGGGAGGTGGAGGTTGCAGTGAGCCGAGATCGCACCACTGCGCTCCAGCCTGACGACAGAGTAAGATTTGGACTAAATAAAAAAAAAAAGTCAGTTTTCTCACTCAGGCTTCCCCACTAAAATAACCTTAACAAACTACCCGTATTTCCTCCTGTGGAAAACATAAGAATCCAAACTAGGAAGATCGACTTTAAGGAAGACAGTATGAGGAGCCCTGCTGACCTGCTCCTCAGTGAAACTGGTAAAAATTATTTTAAACCAACACATTTACAGCCTCTCGAAATAGTCTTAAAGTAAACAGCAAATTTAAAAAATCTACTTAAGAAAATCTACAAAAATTTGATAAGAAAAACAAGTCTGTGGTGTTTGAATCCTCTGTTTCTCCAGCAAGCTCAGGGTGGCAGAGACTTCACACCAGACTTCTATTGCCAGGAACACAGGGCTCCCTCATCCTATAGCTCTCAGTTGGTGGGCTTTCGCCCTGGGAGAAGGAAGACATGAAGGTTTCTCCTCCAGCCTCCTGTCACCTGTTACTTCCAGGCAAGTTCAATCAAGAGGAGGGGGCTTCCTTCACTGACCCAGCCCCTACTCATAGAATGGAAGGTCTACCTTGGGCACAGAACACTGAGAAAATCCTATCTTTGCCCTGGTTCATGAGGAGGTGGTTCCATAATGGGAAAGGTTAAAAAAAAAAAAAAAAAAAAAAAAAAAGGACCTCAGGCTACTCCATCTCCAATCTAGCACTCAGCTCCTAGAGTTGTGATATCACCCAGAAAGAAGCCTGCCTTAGTCTTCACCCCTAGCTCCAGAAGACCAGGTTCAGATATTTTGATGAGGGGAAAAGAAGGAGAGGGAGAGGGAGAGGCAGGCCAGAAAACAGATTCTCCAACTCTCTTCTTAAACGAATTAATTTCATTACAATAGTCTGTGAAGAAGCTGAAAGGCACTATCAAGAACAATGGAGGTTGTGGTGAAAGGGACATGTCTTCCTTCATGGATTTAAGGAAGACATAGCCTAGGCTGTAGTCTGCTGGGCACCTAGTAGAGAAACAGGAAATAAGACAGTTGGGAGGAGCCCACCTAGGGTGAGAACAAATATCAAACACTGACCTAAGAAACTATTCCTGAAGGAGGCACAATTGGATTGGAATAGTTTGTAGAACAAATTATGCCCCAGGGTACTGTTAAAAACAATAGATACAATATTAAGACAGTTAACACTGGGGGAGGGGGAGTATACTGTACTAAAATAATCCAGGCAATCAACCTAAAAACAGACAAGCAAATATCAAGCTCTGGATAAGGGAGACCACTATCCAAGGTTGCTACAATATATTATCTCCCGTGTCTGATTTCCAAGAAAAAGTCAGAGATGTACAAAGAAACAGAAAAGCATTACCCATACAGAAAAACAAAACAAAATGAAACAAAACAAAAAAACAACACACACTGCCTGTGAGAGGGATCAGATGTTAATTTAACAGAAAAAGACTGCAAAATTTGTGGAGCCCAAAGTTCTTATTGATAGAGGAAGCCTTCAGGTAATAGGTTTCAGAGAGAATACATTGTAAAACGTTTCTTATCAGACTTAAAGTCTGTGTCGATGTTAAACATATTTGAACAGACATGATTAAAGAACTATAGGGAGGCATTACGACAATGTTACATCAAATAGAGTGTATCAATAAAGAGACAGGAATTATATACATATATATAGAAAAAGAAACTATAAACCAAAAATAAAATTCTAAAGCCCCCTAACCATCTGAATGGATGACCTCCCCTGCCAAGGCACTCTTAAAATTTAATCTGAAAGAATGGTTCAAGCCATGATGAGAAATGGGGAGGGCACATGCCAGACATGCCTGATTATACCCCTCCAGCATTAATAATACAGGATTTATTAAAAAGTAATTTTTAGGCAGCTAGAAAGTGTGAAAGTTCTTGGTGGAATTTTCCTTTAATAAAAAGCAGCGCCACCCCCCACTCCCAACCATTTCCTCTCTAACAGAAAAGAGCCTAAGAAGTCAGGTGTAACATTCAAAGTAGGAGCTTTTATAAGTAAATGCCAGCAGCTGTACCTGGAAGCCAGTTACATTCAGTATGGTGTCTCCTCTCTTCTTTTCCTTATCTCCTGCCCTCTTTTCCTAGTCATCATGTTTAGGGTATCATGGCAGCCTCCAGGTAAAACCACATATAGGAATCAGGGCTGCTGCCAGGTGAAGGCCTCGTTTGTATAATAAAAGATGAGGGTGGGAGGGCCAGTCTTTTAGGGGGCTTTGTAAATGGCACACCTGGTCAACCCAATCCCCTGAGCCCTATGTAACTCAATCGCCACCCCCTCAAGCCTCTGTACAAAACCAACTGTGTTCCACCATAAATCAGAGACCCCCTTTTGGATGACCCGCTTTTGCAGCATGAGGAAGGTTTTTCTCTCTCTTCCTTTTCTATTAAACTTTCCTCTCCTAAACCCACCCCTGGTGTGTGTCTGTGTCCTCAATTATCCTGAATTCTTTCTCAACCAAGACCAAGAACCAGGGTATATACCTCAGACAACGGAGCCACTTCATTAACATCAACACAGACCAGGGACAGGCCTCATTATACACCTCCAGCATTAACATCACATAGATTTTAAGTCTGATAAAAAAAAAACGTTTTACAACCTATTTTCTTTGAAGCCTACTACCTAAAGGCTTCTTCTGTAAATAAGAACTTTGGTCTCCACAATTCTTGATCTTAACCCAGACATTCCTTTCTATTGATCCCAAGTTTTAGATGAACTCAACCATCAACCAGATAATTTAAAAATCTACCTGTAAGGTGAAAGATGCCCCTCTCAAGTTGTCCTGCCTTTCTGGACCAAACCAATGTACTTCTTAAATGCATCTGATTCGGGCCAGGCGTGGTGGCTCATACCTGTAATCCCAGCACTTTGGGAGGCCAAGGCAGGCTGATCACCTGAGGTCAGAAGTTTGACACCAGCCCGAACAACACAGAGAAGCCCTATATCAACTAAAAATACAAAATTAGCTGAGTGTGCTGGCACATGTCTGTAATCCCAGCTGCTTGGGAGGCTGAGGCAGAAGAATCATTTGAACTTGAGAGGTGGAGGTTCTGGTGAGCCAAGATCACAACATGGGCACTCCAGCCTGGGCAACGAGAGCAAAACTCTGTCTCAAAAAAAAAAAAAAAAAAAGGATTTGATTTAAGTCTCATATCTCCCTGAAATGTTTAAGACCAAGCTACTAAGCTGCACCCATAATCACCTTGGGCACATGTTCTTAGGACCTCCTCAGGGCTGTGTCATAGGTCATGTCACTCATATTTGGCTGAGAATAAGTCTCTTCAAATATTTTACAGAGGTTGACTCCTTGTGGACAAAACAAATGTAAATTCTGTAGTAAGAAAATACAATAAATGAAATAAAAAAATTACAGAGGAACTCCTAACAGTAGATATGAACTGGAATAAGAATTAGTGAAACCCATAAGGGAGAACCAGAGGAGAGGAGAGACAAGGGAGTAGAAAAAATATTCTAAGAAATAAAACAGGCAGCCAGTAGCTCCTGAAGCCACAAGGATCAGATATTATATGATTCAATTCATATAAAAATCCAGAACAATTTATGAAGACAGAAAAGTAAATGAGGGATTACTTAGGAGTGGGGGTAGGTAAGGGATTAGGAGGGTGATAGCTAAGGTTATGGGTTTTCTTTTTCAGGCAATAAAAATGTTCTGAAACTGACTGTGGTGATGGTTGCACATATATGTGAATATATTAAAAGCAAATTAAATTGTAAGCTTTAAACAGGTCAACTGTATGACATAAGAATTATATTCCAATATAGCTGTTAAAATGAAAACCAATCACCCAGCTACCCAGAAATAATTTTTGTCACTGCTTTAATGTATACATTTTTGGTTAGAATTGCTTAATACAGTGAGTTCCAAACTTCTCTTCAAAGAATCAGCATGCCAGTATGTTCAGTTTCTATGTTCTTTGTTCTCCATTTTAAAGTTTAACTTCCTTGTTCTCTTCCTTTCCTTGCCTCTAATTTCAGTAAACAACCTTCCCGCCAGCTCTAATCAGTAGTTCGTATCTATATCCCTGGTCACTTGTTCCATCCTGAGTCACCCCTGGTCACCTGCTCTGACCTGAGTCACCTTTAGTCACCTGTTCTGTAACCATCTTTCCCCACCACTCTGGCTTGTACCCCTGCTCTCTTTAAAATAGCCAGCAGGAATTAGCTTAGACTGTGTGGTCCAACCCTAGCCAGCAGGGGAATGACACAGCAGTAGGGGTGACCTATGTCAGGGATAAGTCCTTCCTTCTCCTCCCCTGTTCAGGTGTGCTCTCACCATTGCTCCATTTGCAAGATGCACCCTTCTATAGAAGTGAAAATTGCCTTGTGAGAAAATTTATGTTCGAGTGCTATTTCCTTTGTGGCAGCAAAAATTTGCTTCTAACAATTTCGTGGCCCGTACAGGGAGTCCATTCTCCTCTGAGGAACAGGCCTCTGGTTGCCTCTTGTGGGGAGACGTGTCCCATTGCCTCGTTGTGATGGCCTCAGGATGAGAGATTATTTGCATCTGGTGTGATGAATAAACCCAGACTCTCAGCAATGCGGAAAGAAACGGGCCGGCGAACTGGGGGAAAGGATCCTTGCATACTATGGCAACCAAGTAACTCTGTGCACAGACCAAGGTAAGAAATGTCATAAAGGCGATAAAGTATTTCCTTGGTGATCCAGATATTCTGGAGGTTGAATGTTGGTCAGGATATTCTGGAGGTTGAATGTGGGTGTGAATGATCACAAGCACTAATGCTTGAGGTGCTGCTTGTGTGAATGGTACTAAGCACTAGTGGGTCCTATCTGTGGTTCCATGGTCACCTCGTGCAGCTTAAGGCAGATCCTGCTGTGGAGTTTATACCAGCATGCTGATGCCAAGAGGGACCTAGAACTTCTCTGGGGGAGCAGCCAGAGTGGACAAAGTACAAGAAGGATGCAAGGAGCCTCCAGCAGGTGGGACTAAAAGATAGGCAAGACATTTCTGATATGAGAGATTGAGTTTAACCACTACCCAATATGGAAAATATCCCAAGCAAGATAGGGGCAAGAAGGATAAAGATGCTAACAAGGATATTCCCCTTGATAGCCCCCTAAGTCTCATCCTGAGTATGGAAGGATAATGAAACAACTAAACATAGAAAAAGTAACAAATGATAAAATATTGCTCTCTTATTTGGACTCAGGGACCTATCCTCAAACCCTGAATCTTATGGCCAAAGTTTGGGTTGAATGAGGATGTAATGTGTCAGCATCTATTTCAATATGTTAATGATAAAAGTCCAGTTTCTCAAGAAAAAGTGGACTACGCTCTTTGTTGGAGGCAGGGACCTATCCTTCTTTTTCCCTTAAAAACAACTAGGGAAGAACCCAATCTGGCACCTCAAAATGAAAAGTCAGAGAAGCCAGTGCCTATGACTGAAGACTCTAGTTCATGGGATCCCCTAGACCATCTCCGCCCACTCAGTGTCCCCAATCCCTCTCCCCAGGCAGCTGCTGCCAGCCCATATCCGATTCCAGATCCTTCACCAGCCCATGTTATCCCTCCTCCTTATAACCCTGACTCTTGGGAATTACTATCCCATGAGCCTGTTCCCTCCCAGCCCAAATACCCCTCTCTAAAAGGACTCCAGTGGAAGGTAGAATAATGTAAAAAACATATTCAGAATTTCTCATTTCCCTCTGCACTTAGGGAGTCAGTTCCGACTTTTTTCCCCTTAAAGGAGGTGCCTCAAGGAGGGGGAGCTATATTGGCTTTTCAAATGCTCCCATGACCAGTTCAGAAGTCCAGAGTTTCAAAAAGGAGCTTAATTAAGCCACTACTAGATGACCCTTATGGAGTGGCAGATCAAATTCATCAATTTTTAGGACCTCAGTTATACACTTGGGTCAAGTTAATGTCCATCTTGGGCATCCTCTTTTCAGGGGAAGAAAGGAGCAGGATTTATAGGGCTTCTATGGTAGTTTGGAAATGTGAGCATCCTCCCAGTCATAATGTTCCTTTTGCAGACCAGAAATTGCCCATCCGAGACCCCTGGTGGGATAGTAACAATGCAGATCACCAGGGAAACATTCAGGACCTAAGGGAGATAATAAAAGGAATTCAGGAATCAGTACCCCAAACCCAAAATCTTCCTAATGCATTTGATATACAACAGGAAAAGGATGAATGGCCTTTGAGATTCCTTGACAGACTGAAAGAGCAAATGAGACAATATGCAGGCCTTAATATGGACGATCCCCTAGGGCAAGGAATGTTAAAACTCCAATTTGTCACTAAAAGTTGGCCAGACGTTTAAAAAAAATTACAAAAGATAGAAAATTGGGAAGACTGTCCCCTACATAAACTTTTCAGTGAAGCTCAAAAAGTATATGTGAGGAGAGATGAAGAAAAGCAAAAACATAAGACAAAATTTGTGTTATCCACCTTCCAACAAATGGCTCCAAAACAATGTACTTCTAAATAGAGCTTCCAGGGAGCCAGAAACCATAAAGGGCCCAAACCCTCCTTTAAACAACCCCAGCCTCCATCTGGAGGACCAAGGCCCTCAATTACCAGGCCCCCTAAAGAGTATGGGGGAGCAAGTTCAAAGAATCCCAGAACTGAGAGGAAGGAAGGGCAAGACAGGTGCTACAAATGTGGAAGAACAGGTTACTTCAAGAGAGAATATCCTGATTTAAGGAGAAAGAAGCCCTTCCAGTCATGACTTTTAAGGAAGAATAATGGGGCCCAGGGCTCTTTTATCTTGAGTACTACCAGGAGCCCTTGATAATTTAGAGGTGGGACCTAAACATGAGTTTATCACCTTTTTAATCAATTCTGGAGCAGCCCTTTCCTCCATTTGCTTCTCACTCCCTTATACTGCCTGTTCTTCAAAAGACCTTTTAGTCTCTGGGATAAAAGGAGAAGGGTTTAAAGCAAAAATTTTAGAGAACACAGAAGTTAGACACTAGGACTGATCAGCTCATAGTCAGTTTTTGTTAATCCCTGAAGCAGGGACTAATTTATCAGGGAGAGATTTAAGTTAAAGTTAGAAATAAGCCTACGAGTCAACCCAAGAGGATTCTTCACCTTATTCAACCTACTTACCATTGCAGATGAAAAATATATGATTCCTAATGTCTGGTCCAAAGAGGGAAACTGAGGGAAACTCCGAATCCCTCCAATCCACATCAAGCTAAAAACACCTGGAGAAGTAGTAAGGTAAAAGCAATACTCCATTCCTGTAGAGGGGAGGATAGGGTTGAAACCTATAACTGAAGGCCTTATCAAAGATGGGCTTCTCGACCCCTGTATGTCCCCTTACAACATCCCAGTACTGCCAGTCAAGAAACCAGGTGGGTCACACTGACAGGTACAGGACCCTAGAGTTATCAACCAAATAGTCCAGACTACCCATGCTGTTGTCCCCAATCCTTATACCATTCTCAGCAAGATTCCATATAATCATCAATGGTTTACTGTAATAGATTTAGAGGATCCTTTTTGGGCATGATCCCCGGCTGAAGACAGCTGAGACATATTTGCTTTTGAATGGGAGGATCCCCATTCAGGGTGGAAACAATAGCATCTATGGACAGTCTTACCCCAAGGGTATATAGACTCCCCTAACCTTTTCAGCCCAATTTTAGAACAAGTATAAGAAAAAATTGTCATCCGAAAACAAATATGCTTGCTTCAACAAGTGGATGATATTCTTATATCTGTTGAAAATATAGAGAAGGTAACTGACTTCTCTACACATATTCTTAACCCCTACAGTTACAGGAGCTACAAGTTTCAATAGGAAAGCTTTAGTATGTAGAGCCCAGAGTTAAGTATTTAGGCCACTCAATAAGTGCAGGCAAGTAAAGAATACTGCCTGAACCAGTTGAGGAAATCATGTCCCTACCCTTGCCTCAAACTAAACAAGAACTCAGGAAATTTGGGGGGTTAGTTGAATACTGCCACTAATTGACTGACTCATATGCACTACACAGTAAACTTCTATATCAAAAACTTGCCCAGGAGAAGCCTGACCATCTCCTGTGGACTTCTGAGGAAGTCTATCCAGTTGAAGAGCTGAAAGAAAGGCTCAAACCTTACCCATCCTAGAAAAGCCATTCCAACTTTTTGCTAATGTGGACAGTGTTGTAGCTTTCAGGGTGCTTACTCAAAAACATGGCTGCCGGCAGCCCATGGCCTTCCTATCAAAGGTCTTAGATCCAGTCATTGTGGATGGCCTCAATGCATCCAATCCATTGCCGCTACGGTAATATTAGTCAAGGAAAGCAGAAAGTTAACCTCTGGAGGAAAATTGACAGTAAGCACGCCTCACCAAGTTAGAGCCATCCTAAACCAGAAAGCAGAGAGATGGCTTACTGACTCAAGAATCTTAACGAATGAGGTCATTCTGTTAGACAAAGATGATTTAACACTAACTACTGATAATTCGCTCAACCCAACAGGTTTCCTAACAGAGAATACAAATCTAAGGAGAGAGCACAGATGTTTAAATTTAACTGATTACCATACAAAAGTTAGACCAGACCTAGGAGAAACTCCCTTTAGGATGGGACAACACTTATTTATAGATGATTCCTCCCCAGTGGTTGAGGGGAAAAGACACAATGGGTATTCAGTAATTGATGGAGAAACTGTAAAAATAGAGTCAGGAAAATTGCCTAACAGTTGGTTTGCTCAAACTTGTGAGCCGTTTGCACTCAGCCAAGCTTTAATGTACTTGCACAACCAGGAAGGAACCATCTATACTGATTCTAATATACCTTTGGAGTGGCTCATACATTTGGAAAATTTGGACTGAACGAGGTCTCATTAATAATAAAGGTCAAGACCTTATTCATAAGGAGCTAATCACCCAAGTATTGAATAACCTTCAGTTGCCGGAACAAACAGCTATTATCCATGTTCCTGGACACCAGAAAAGCCTTTCTTCTGAAAATCAAGCAGATCAGACCCAACCAGGCTGCCGTCTCCTCTCAAATGCCTATTTTCCACTTAACTCCCTACCTTCTTCCTCCTATCGTAATCCCCATTTTCTGTTCCACTGAACAAGAAAAACTAATAAAGATAGTTGCTAAAGAGAATTCAGAAGGAAAATGGATATTGCCAGACCAGAGAGAAATGTTATCCAAACCCCTTATGAGGAAAATCTTGTACCAACTATATCAAAGGACCCAGAGGTTCTTTGATGTCCCAACTACATCAAAGAACCTTTAGTCGCCTGTTCCCAGGCCATGTGTGATGCAATTCTCAGAGTTTTTGAGTGTATAGAAATTTATATCCTGGCCAAAGAGGTTACAGATAGTTGCTTAGTAAGAAAACTAATAAACAAGCTCTAAAAGATTACCCTGCAGGGGAAGGAATCCAGGCTTAAGACCGTTCCAAAGTATACAAGTTGATTACATAAAAATGCCTCCAATGGGTCATCTAAAATATTTATTAGTGATAGTACATCACCTCACTCACTGGGCTGAAGCTATCCCCTTTCCAAATGCAGCAGCTAATAATGTAGTCAAGGCCCTAACTGAAAATATAGTACCCAGATTTGGACTAATAGAGAATACTAACTCAAACAATGGTACTCATTTCACAGCACACATCACTAAAAAGCTATCCCAAACATTAGACATTAGATGAGAATACCATACTCCCTGGCATCAACCTTCATCATCAGTGAGAGTAGAAAGAATGAATCAGACTTTAAAGAATCGCTTAACCAATGTAGATGGGATAAATTACATTTATTACAACCAATAGCGGTTTATTAACTATCCTAGAGATGCTGTTAAAGGAATAGCTGAGCAATTAGGGGCTACTAGCCAGATGACTTAGGAAAACAGAACAGCCTTAGACATAATATTAGCAGAAAGAGGAGCAGTTTGCGTCATGATTAAAACTCCATGTTGTACCATCATCCCAAACAATACCACCCTGATGGAAGTATAACAAAAGCTATCACAAGGTCTAACTGCTCTGTCTAATGAGTTAGCCAAAAACTCAGAAGTAAATGACTCCTTCACAGGGTGGCTAGAAAAAAATGGTTCAGTAAATGGTAAGGAATCACACACTCAATTCTTACTTCTCTCCCAGCTGTAGTAAGTGTACTTGTTCTTGTCAGGTGTCCTGTCATACCATGCATCTGTGGGCTGGTGCAAAAACTCACAGATGCACCACTTGCTAAAACCTCCCTTAACTCTCCTCCACCTTATTCAGAGAAGCTTCTTCTTTTAGAGAATCAAGCAGAACAACTAAGCCAAGACATGTTAAGAAAGTCTGAAGAGAATGGTAGAAATTCAAGATGGAGCAGTTGAATGCAGTGAGTTCCAAACTTGTCTTCCAATAATCAGCATGCCAGTATGTTCAGTTTCTGTGTTCTTTGTTCCCCATTTTAAAATTTAACTTCCTTGTTCTCTTCCTTTCCTTGCCTCTAGTTTCAGTAAACGACCTTCCTACCAGCTCTGATCAGTAGTTCATATTTATATTCCTGGTCACCTGCTCCATCCTAAGTCAGCTCTGGTCACCTGCTCTGACCTGAGTCATCTTTAGTCACCTGTTCCATAACCATGTCTTTCCCCCCGAAAAGACAGAGGGAAAGATGGTTATCGAACAGGTGACTAAAAGCTCATAACCCTACTCTCTTTAAAATAGCCAATCAGAATCAGCTTAGACTGTGTGGTCTAACCCTAGTTAATAAGGGAACAACACAGTAGTAGGGGTGACCTGCGTCAGGGATAAGAACTCCTTCCTTCTCCTGCCCTGTTCAGGTGTGCTCTCGCCATTGCTCCGTCTGTGAGATGCACCTTCTATAGAAGTAAACATTGCCTTTCTGAGAAAATTTATGTTTGAGTGCTATTTCCTTTGTGGCACTGAAAATTTGCTTCTAACAGAATTATCTGATAAAATAATAAAATCATAAACTGACACAGCTCCATTAAAACAAATTATATCCCTTTTAATGCTTATGAAAAACAAATATTTCCTGAATGGCTATCAAACCTGTTGCTGACTATATAAAGCACTTTATATGCTCACTTAATCTTTACAACCCCCAAACTAGCCATCAGCACATTGTATATAAGGAAACAGTCTTAAGAGATCTCACACCTAGTAAATGCTAGAGCCAAAACTGGAACTTGTGTTAATCTGTGAAGGCTTCCATAACAGATCACACTCTGAGTGGCTTTGGAGGCTGGAAGTCCAAGATCAGGGTACAGGCAGGGTTGGGTTTTGGTGAGGCCTTTCACCTTGGCTTGAAGATGGCTGTCTTCTCACTGTGCCCTCTCATAGCCTTTTCTCCACATGCATAATCCTGTTCTCCTTTCCTCTTCTTATAAGAAAACCAGTTTTATCGAATTACTGCTTATCTTTATGATCTCATTTAATTAACCCTGATTACCTTGTTAAAGGCTCTATCCCAAATACAGATTGAGTGACATATTTTATTAATTTTCGAGGGGAGCGCAATTCAGTCCACGACAGAACTCAAATGTAACTCCAGAGCCTAATCTACAGTCCCTTAACTGACTTGATTACCACACTGTTTTCTGCTGGAATACATGTTCTAAACCAAATCTGAAGGAACCTGACAAAGGAGGTTAATGGTTTTATATACATTACTATACTTGATCCTCCCAATAATGTGGTAAGGCAAGAATCACAAATCATTTCCTCATTTCACAGAGTTCAGGGAGAACAAAAAGCTTGCTGAAGATTACATCCTTTTATTAAAAAGTTACATGAAGATACATGCCCACAAAATAAGGGCATAAAGCAAGACTGAAGAAAGTGATCCAAAAACAGTGGCTCTAAGTCAAGAAAGCGATGATTCCTAAACCCAGATGACCGGTGTGTGGCAAGCCAAAGAGAAAACTCCAGTTTGGGGCCAGTGATGAGAGCTCCAGGAAGGAAATCTCCAAGAAATAAGAGAAAATAAATAGGATAGGCAGAAGGAATGAGAAGGGAAAGGAATACTCTGAAAATCTGGGTAAGGCAATTTGTTGTTAAGAGGAAAAAATATTGCTTCAAATGGCACAAAGGTCACAAAACTGGAATATACATAGAGAAGGAAACATAATCTGCATATTAGGCAGTTCTGTAATAAAAAATATTTATATTAGACATAATAATGTAAAAACACAGACCAAGAAAGACATAACTATGAACAGAACATGTTATCAATTATATAAAAATAAGGATGGCCAGGTGTGGTGGTTTATGCCTGTAATCCCAACACTTTGGGAGGCTGAGGCAGGTGAACTGCTTGTGCTTAGGAGTTCGCGACGTGCCTAGGCAACAACCCTATTAAACTACTTTGAGAGAGAGATCCAAGCTGGCTGATCACTAGCAGCGTGGGATTGTAGCTCCCAGTGAAAGCACAGAGAACGAGAAGACGCCACACTTTGAGATGAATTTTTGTTGCTCATGGACCAGGACATTCCCAGCAGAGGAGCCCCACAGGTCGCCCACGTGGCGGTTCTTGGTGCAGAGTAAACAGGACTGGGTCCCCTTTTGGTCAATGTTTGGAGCTCTGGAAAGGCAGAATCAACTATTAAGCTGATTGAAGGATGGACTCAAGAAGGAAGCCAGACCACGGAGATTCCCAGGCAGAAAAGCACCATCAATCTTAACGCCACTGTTTTAGCTGGCGCAGTGGGTTGCTCAGATTCCAGCGCTGGGAATCAACAAGTTGGACATCCACTCAGAAACCTAATTTGAAAGTCGGTAATTACAAAGACGACAGATGGATAAATTTACAGTGATGGGAAGAAACCAGCCTAAGAAGGCTGAGAATACCCCAAATCAGAATGCCTCTCCCTCTACAAGGGATCACAGTCCCTCATCAGCAGTGGAACAAGGCCTGATGGAGAATGAGTTCCATTAACAGAGGCAGGCTTCAGAAGGTGGATGGTAAGAAACTTCTGTGAGTTAAAAGAACATGTTCTAACCCAATGCAAAGAAACTAAGAACTTTGAAAAAAGGTTTGACGAAATCCTAACGAGAATAGACAATTTAGAGAGGAATATAAGTGAATTAATGGAACTGAAGAATACAATGCAAGAACTCCACGAAGTATGCACAGGTTTTACGGTCGAATTGATCAAGCAGGAGAAAGGATATCAGAGGTTGAAGACCAACTTAATGAAATGAAACAAGAAGACAAGATTAGAGAAGAAAGAGTAAAAAGGAATGAGCAAAGTCTCCAAGAAATATGGGACTATGTGAAAAGACCTAATTTACGTTTGATAGGTGTACCTGAATGTTATGAAGAGAATGATTCCAAGCTGGAAAATATTCTTCTGGATATTATTCAGGAAAACTTTCCTAACCTAGTAAGGCAGGACAATATTCAACTCCAGGTAATACAGAGAACACCACAAAGATATTCCTCAAGTAGAGCAACTCCAAGACACATAATCGTTAGATTCACCAGGATTGAAATAAGGGAGAAAATTCTAAGGGCATCTAGAGAGAAGGGTCAGGTTACCCATAAAGGGAAGCCTATCAGACTCACAGCAGATCTCTCAGCAGAAACCCTACAAACTAGAAGACAGTGGGGGTCAATATTCAATATCCTCAAAGAAAAGAATTTTCAACCCAGAATCTCATATCCAGCCAAACTGAGCTTTATAAATGAAGGAAAAACAAAATTTTCACAAACAAGCAAGCACTCAGAGATTTCATCACCATCAGGCCTGCTTTACAAGACCTTCTGAAAGAAGCGCTATACACAGAACAGAACAACCAGTATCAGTCATCCCAAAAACTTACCAAAAGGTAAAGAGTATCTCCATAATAAAGAATCTATATCAACTAATGGGCAAAATAGCCAGCTAGCATTAAACGACAATATTAAACTCACAAATATCAATATTAATCCTAAATTTAAACAGATTAAATGCCCCAATCAAAGACATACAAAGGAAAATTGAATAAAAAGTCAAAACCCATTGGTACGCTGTATCCAGATCCATTTCATAAGCAAGGACACACAAAGACTCAAAGCTTTGGTGGAAGACTTACCTATCAAATGAAGAGGCGGGGTGGGGATGACAGGAGTTGTAACTTCCGTCTCTGACAAAATAAACTTTAATAGTAACAAAGACTCAAAGAAACAAAGAAGGACATTACATAATGGTAAAAGGATCAATGCAACAATAGGAGCCAATGATCATAAATCTATATGCACCCAATATAGGAACACCCAGATACATAAGACAAGTTCTCAATGACTTATAAAGAGACTTGGACTCCCGCACAATAATAGCAGGAGACTTTGACACCAGTATTGTTAATATTTGACGGATCAACGAGATAGAAAATTAACAGGGACATTTATGATTTGATCTCAGATCTGCAACAAGTAAATTCAGTGAGTATCTATAGAATTCTTCACCCCAGGTCCACAGAACATACATTTTTCTCAGTATCACATTACACCTATTTTGAAAGTGACCACATAATTGGAAGTAAATCATTCTTCAGCATTTGCATAGCATTCCACAGACTTAAATGAAATATTGATTGGCTGTTTGTTAGTTTCTTCCCTTATTCCTTCCTGTCTCCTCTAATAAGTACAATTATCGGCATAAAAGAGGTTTTTAATACCTATTTTTAGATTGCATTCTAGCCTGAGCAATAGAGCAAGATTCCTGTTCTCTCTCCCCCTTTCTCTTTCTCTTCTTTAAAAAACAAAAAACAAAAAAAAGCTACTTTGAAAATTGTAGTAATATCTACAAAGCCTATAACTCAGCAATCCTACTCCTTTATATACCCAAGAGAAATGTGCACAAATGTTCACCAAAAGACATATATAAGGATATTCATAACAACCCTGTCTATCAACAAAATGGACAGGCTAAAGTGCATTCACACAGTGGAATACTCCACAGCAAATACAATGAACAAATTATATCTATATGCAACAACATGGATTAATCTCACAAACTACTGTTGAGCTAAAGACAACAAAAATGAGTGTGTACAGTATGATTCAATTTACACAAAGTTCAAAATCAGGCAAACAAAAAAACACAAACAGTGTTAGAAGTCAGGATGTAGTTACTTTTAGGCAGAGGAGGGGAAGGTAGTAATACAAGGAGCTTCTTGGTTGCTGGTAATACTCTGTTGCTTGTTTTGAACGCTGATTTCATGAGTTTGTTCACTTTGTAGAAATTCATGGAGTTAAATTTTCTGATTAGTACACTTTTCAGGTGGTGAGTTACATTTTAATAAAAGGTTAATGAAAAAATATGCTTTTTTTCTTTTTTTGAGACAGGGTCTTACTCTGTTGCCCAGGCTGGAATGCAGTGGTGTGATCATGGCTCACTACAGTCTTGACCTCCTGGACTCAAGCAATCCTTCTGCCTCAGTCTCCCAAGTAGCTGGCACTACAGATGCAGGCCACCACACCCAGTTATTTTTTTGTAGAGGTGGTGTCTTCCTATACTTGAATTCCTGGGTCCAAGCATTCCTCTTGTTTTGGTCCCCCAAGTGCTGGGATTCTAGGAGTGAGCCACCACACTTGGCATGTTTAATTTTTAAATGTGCATTACTTTACGAAGTAAACTTAAAATACATATTTAAATTTATACTTACAAGAGAAGCCAAGCCTTCTTCTCCTGTGTAGATCTGAAAGAACCTTTTGTAACATCTAAAATATGTTTTACTTTAAGAGGTCTCTTTAAGTTTGCTCTATAAGCAGGCTGAATACCAGCTGGTGACATCTCCATCACATGGCAGCAGTAAAACTGTTTGCAAACACTGCAATCTTTAGAGAGAAAGGTTTTACTATAAACCCAATGTAAAAATATTGCAGAGGTCTAGACCTACCCTTAACTGCAATTGAGCTTTCATGTTCTTGCCAAAGTGATAAATCTGCTAGAGTTTTCAGATCAATAAGAAAACTTTGTAATAATTAGAGCTAGTGAAAAAAGAATACGGCTATCTCAATATGTAGTAGCAAGCCTGCTATTTCCAGAAATATTAAGGCAAAGGTTAGATGAGGATTTGTGAAGGAGATAAAAAGAACACAAAAAGAAGTCAAAAGAACACAAAACTTAAAATCACATATAAATATAGACTGTTATCCCAACTTTATCACTTATAAAGCAGATGATATTGGCAAGGTCTTTCATGTCCTTAAACTTCAATTCCTTGTTCAAAAGAGGAGGAGGGGAATAATACATGCTTTTTGCTACCTATGAAAGAGTGAAGTAAAATTAATTCATATGCCAGCATCTCTTAAACTACAAGGTACTATAACCACCCGAGGGGGTCTTCCTGTCCACAGCATAAAGACTGACCATGGTACTGTAGTAGAGAAAGAGTTTAATAGACACAAGGCTGGCCATACCACAGAGGAGATAAAGTTTGTACTCAAATCACTTCATTCAAAGCTCCTAGGTGAGGAGTTTTTCAAAGACAGTTTGGGGAAAGGGGTGGGGTGGCCAGGTAACAGGCGCTTGCTGCTGACTGGTTGGGACAGAGATGAATCATAGGGGGTTGAAGCTGTCTTCTAGTGCACCAAATTGCTTCTGGATGGAGCCATAGGAGTGGGGTTGTAACAAGTCCTAATACAATGCTACTTTTACTAAAAGACATTTCCTAATAGATATCTATATTATACATGCTGTATAATTTCTATAAAATCACGGTATCTCACTTTTAATGGTTTACAGAAAGTAAATTCTAGTGTTAATAATGGGTTCTCTATTAAGTTTACTTTAGATATCTAAAACAGTACCTCTTGTCTTCCAAAACTATTTTGTCTGGTATCATGTTGAGTAAAATATAAAGAAATAAAACTGCTCAGTAATTCTATTAATACTGACTTGGAGTCCTAGAGGGAGTGGAAATCAATAATACTGGTAATGACTTTCCCAGTGCAGTTTGATGGTTCTCAAACTTTCTCATCCAGTCCTCTAAGAAAGACCCATATTGGTCACAATATTTCAGAAGGAATGGGTAAACAAATCCATGTGATTAAAAGATCAATGACTCTCTGTTCTAATAAAAATCCATGCTCGTTTATTATAAGGAACACTATAGTCATTTCTGAGAATCTACACCTTGATATTTTCTTATTTGGGGATATAAAAAAATGATCCTAAGCTAGATGTTAAAGAATTACTACTTTTAAAAGATGTGATAGTGGGATTATACTTTTTTAAAAGACATATTGATGTTACATATAAATTTTGTGTCAAAATAATTGGGGGAGGGGTGTGTGACAAGCTATAGATGAACAAAAGTGGTCCTAAGTTAATGACTGGCTACAGACAAAGCAGGATGATGAGGGAGGGGGTGGGGGGAGGGCATTTACTAAACTATTTTCTTGACTCTTAAGTGAAATTTTCCAGAGTGAAGAATTAGAAAAATTGTTCTGTATACTAAAACAACACAGTTTCTGTCTTTCTGTTTCCTTTCTCTAACTTCCCTGAGCAACATCATTTGCTGTCACTGCTTTTGACAGTTCATACATTGGTACCTAAAAATGAATTAAACACTCTTTCTTCAAACTTGCACCCTCCTCTCCTGCTTTCTCTTACTGGCACCACCAATTTCAAAGACACTTGGAAACCTGGGTTACCTTTTCCTCCTTCCCTTCTCACAACCAATCAGTTCTATCCCCATTCCCCTCCATCCATTTACTGTTAAAATTTCTCTTCTGTTGTTCTATGTTCCTCATTGGTTTAGGTTTTTCATTGACTGCTGAGAACGTTGGGACTTCTGAAATTGTTTCCTTTCCTTAAAAAGAGTACTTTCTTAAACCAAGAACAAACCCTCTCTTTTTGTTGCTGTAAATAAAAAGCTACCTCACAGGACTATTACAAAGATTTAGAGTTCACACGTGACACACCTAGTCAAGTTCGTGGCTTGTTATAAGCACACAAATTCTGGTTTTCCTCTCTTCTCTAAGTGCAAGTATTATTATTTCAAACTGGCTTCCTCACTGAATCCCTGAAGATCCTAGAATGCCCTGATTCTGTTCCTTTGTGATTTCTCCTACCCACAATACACTGCTATTCCATCTCCCTATGTCTAAAGCTAAACTATTCTTTAACAGTTACCTCAAATACCATCTCATCTGATTAACAAATAGGCTTACTTTAGAGAGACCAAAGTTAGATATCCAGATACTGCAGTCATATTTCAAGCTCAGGAATACACATAATACTACATCATTTCTAAGGGAAAGAGTAGAACGAACAAGCAGCTATAAACAGGCAATTGGGAGTCCCACGTGGTTTATGCCTTTCAGTCAGGCAGTTTTGCCTCTATCACATTAAGAACTAGCAAAAATAAATGTTCTCCAAATTCTTCTACACCAACTATATAAACTAGATAACTCAGTGAGTGATCATTTTCAAAATGTTTCTTCATTTATTATCTTCAGAGGCAGTACTCCTTCAAATAATGAGTTCCCCCTGCTGCATTAAAAATATAATTTGCGAAACCTCAATTACTCACAACTCTTATGGCATACATTATCATGCAAACTATGGCACACTAATGCAAAACTAAGTATAAGCCAGGAAGAAAACAAAGTACAATGGTTCAAAATACTCTTCATTTTCTGTATTGGTAAACTATGAATCTAAATTTACAATATTCTGTTTTACTTAGACACTTCAATTGATATGACATTAAAAGGACGATTCATACACAAGGGTTCTCTATGTTTACCAAGGCTAGTACTTCCATATTGTTTCTCCTGAGAAACTGTACCTGCTAACCTCTCTGATCCCATACCTAGCCTAGCCCTATGTGGTAAGCTCCTTTTCGCACTTGAAGTTCTACTTCAGGCGCCTCCTCTCTGTGGCCTGTCCTTCTCCTCTACCATCAGGTAATTGTTTCCTCACCTGTGTTCTAAAAGCACTTTATATAGGCTCTGTTTTGCTACTAACCATACTATTTACTTATCTGTCTCCATCTTTCTAGGTCTCCTGCAAGATCCCCTCCTCCCAACTAAATTGTGAGTTGCCTGAGAAAAGAAAGCTTACATTTATAGGCAATCTAATGTAACAGCAAGTCAACAGCAGACTCTGGAGCTAGACAGTATGGTCTGGAATCCTATTATGCCACTTCCCAGCAATATAATCTTGAGCAAACTTCTGACCTTGACCAAAATCTGAGCCTCAGTTTTCCCAGAGGCAAAAGGATAACAATCACACCTACCTCACAGTGCTGTTACAAGAATTGCATTGAATAATGAAAAGCACTTAGTACCATGCCAGCAAACACTCAACAGTATTACTGTTCAGCTTAAATTACTGGTATTAAACAAAATGCTGGCACATAAACTGGCATTTAGTATATACCCACTGAAATAGAGAAGCTACTTAATGTTACGAAATATAGCTCAAAATGGCGTAACTTTTAATTACACAATACTTAAATTTTTCTGAAAATCTTCAGAAGTTTCTAGAAGAAATACCATTAAGGTGTTGTTAGTCTGCTCTATTACAATCATGATCTATTTTTTTAAATGTTATTATATGCCAATTTTTCTAAGACCATATAGGCCTTAAGTCTTAGAAAAGATAGTGTCTGAATCTCATTCATCTTTAAGCCATTATAATAAATAGATCCAGATCTCAGTTTAATTTGTAAACTATCAACTGGTTTATTCCATCTTCAATCCTTTTTTCTTCTGTCAACTGAGAGTTTCCTGCAGATTCTGTTTTTAGAGACAATTGTGTTAAATCTAAAAATGCCTAATATTTAACATAATTTTCTTAACATCATTTAATAAGTTTAAAAAAAGATGCTGAGACATTTGTGACTTAAAAAAAGAATAAGAAAAATTTAAAAAGGAAAAACTCAATTCGAAGATTATCATTAAAATCTGAAAATAACTAAAGAAGACACACACAAATACTAATTTATTCCACAGAAATAATAAAGGTAATTCCATAGATATCCAAAATTTTGAATCCTTTCATTTTGCTGACGAGAAATCAGTAAAAAAACACAGGTACACTCACATCGAGGCCCATGCTCCTTTAGGAATAAAGTTATATTTAAATGTTCCAGACTAACAATGTTTACTATAGTTTGCAGATGTCATGTTATTGTTATTCTTAACTGCATTAACAAAAGCTAAGTCAGGCTGATGTGATAAAAGAATAATACGTACTTTACCATTAATCTATCATTAAGGTAGATATCCTAATCTGGGATGGGAGAGAGGGAAGTAATCAAGGGAAAACAAATGGGAAAGGAAAAATTAAAAATAATCCAGATAGTTCATAAGTCACAAGTGGGTAATTAATGAGATTACTATTTGAAAAATGAGTTCATTTTGTCTCATCTAAAGTTTTGGAGTACTCCCTGTCCCCACTTTCCTGATATAGAATCTTTTAACTTTCAAACAAAACTAATGTATTTAAAAATATAGCATGTTATTAAACTTAAAACTTTTCACAGAGACAAACTTTTTTCCCTAGTAAACGCAATAAAACAGTAAAATGTTTAAAGACAATAAAAGAATGCATTCAAGTCTAAATTCATTTACAAAGTTGAAATACAATATAAGATAATGCTTATATTAAATTGCTATGTAGAAAATCAGGGCCAGGCATGGTGAGTTACACTTGTAATCCCAGCACTTTGGAAAGCCAAGGCAGGTGAATTACTTGAGATCAGGAGTTCAAGACCAGCCTGGCCAACACAGTGAAACCCGTCTCTGCCAAAAAACACAAAAATTAGACAGGTGTGGTGGCATACACCTATAGTCCCACATACACCTGTAGTCCCAGCTACTTGGGAGGCTGAGGCACCAGAATCACTTGAACCCAGGAGATAGAGCTTGCAGTGAGCTGAGTCGCACCACTGCACTCCAGCCTGGGTGACAGTGAGACCCTGTCTCAAAAAAAAAAAAAAAAAAGAGAAAATCAGGATACACTGTTGAACAGAGCATGATCAGTGCTATATAAAGCAAACCAAAAGTCTGTGATTCCAAAGTGTTAGGATTATAGGTACAAGCCACTGCATCTGGTCCACACAGTGGCTCATGCCTATAATTCTAACACTTTGGAAAGCGGAAGGAGGCGGATCACTTGAGGTCAGGAGTTCAAGACCAGCCTGGCCAACATGGTGAAACCCCATCTCTACTAAAAATAAAAAAATTAGCCAGGCATGGTAGCAGATGCCTGTAATCCTGTAACCAAGGGACAGAGTGGGGGGTGGGGGCACATCCTGAACACACTCCCAGTTCCTGGATCTGAGGTCCTTGGCCTCTCTTACCCCAAAGAATGGGGAGAGGGGCCCTGGAGGCACAGTGAGCTTACCATCTAAATAAATATTGTGGACCCAAAGAGTTTTGCAGAGAGCAATTTATTAGGCAGAGAGAGAGAAAGAAGGAGAGGCAGTTCCCACGTGGCAGTTGGAGGGGATTCAAAGAAGGAATCCCTATATGTAAGGATCAGCAGAGTTTTAACCCTGGAGTTATTCCCTCCTCGTTCATGTTCTTGTCCAATGAGAGGGGTTCTTTCAATTTTCCACTGGAGTGATTTATCTTTGACGCTGTTACCGGATTGGCTGCTTGGTGTGCAACAGAGCCCCCTCCTCCCAGAGCTTTCCACTGGCTTTTTGGACAAAGAAGCCTACCTGGATTCCTCTTCCTAGCCCATGGGAAGGAAACCCAGACAAAGAACTTTACATTCCCGGACGGGGCCGTGGATGGAGCTGTGGCACTGGGAAACTCCTGCCTTTGAAACCACGACCCTCGTGGATTCAGGAAGAGAAGTTTTTTTCCTTAACACAGTCCCTCAATCCCAGCTACTAGGGAGGCTGAAGCAGGAGAATCACTTCAACCCGGGAGGGGGAGGTTGTAGTAAGCCCAGATGACGTCACAGCACTCCAGCCTGTGCAACAGAGCGAGGCTTCATCTCGAAAAACAACAAAAAAAAACTCCTATATGATCAGAAAATGTGAACACTACTTGGATTACTATTAAAATTTATTTTATAACTGATAAAAATATGAGCTATACATACTTAGTATTTATGGATAAAATACATGGGATTTGCTTCAAAATAATCTATGGGATTAAGGAGGAAGGGGAGTTAGAGATGGGGCATGAGTTGACAACTGTTAAAGATGAATGACAGATCATGACTGATAGATCATGAGTGTTCAATCTCATCACCAATTCTTTTTACCTTAGAACTATGAAATTTTTCATAATAAAAAGTCAAAATAAAAAAATTCCCTGTTTCTGAAACCGTACACTGGATATGATAT